CCACACCGTTCGGGGGGCCCTCCATTCTTGGGCGACCCCGAGCTGGGGCGCGGGAGCGGGTGCGCCCGCCCCGAAGACGCTCTCGGAGAACGACCCAAGTCCCAAGACCCGGATCCCCACTGACTCACCACACGGCGTGGTCACCGCTCCGTTTGTTGGCGGCGCGCAGAAGGGGATATGGGGGAAGGGGGAAGGCTCCTTAGAGAAGGAGGCTGGTCCTCAGGAAGCGCCTGCCGTTCACAGGTGAGGCCCACGCCTTCTCAGACGCAGCCTCCTTCTCTAAGAAGCCTTCCCCCTCCCTCTACCCTAGAGGCCTCCTAGATGGGGTCCGAGTAGATGGGGTCTGAGGGTCGCGCCGCATCGCCGATGCATCTGCAGTACATCCCCAATGCATCGGCGCCGTCGGCGAGGAGAAAGTCGGGCCCCACATCGAGCCGCATCGCCGATACATCGGCGATGCGGCGCGATCCTCCGACCCATGGAGGAGGTCGGCTACCCGCCTCTGCGCGTGGCCGGGTCTGGGGCCCCCCCGCGTTCCTGGACGCCCCCGCGCGGGGGCGCGGGCGCGGGTGGGCCCGCCCGGGCAGGCTGTGGCAGGCGGCGGGCAGGCGGCACTGCGGGCGCCCGGCAGGAGCATCGCCCCTGGCCGCCGGCCGCCGCGTCGGCGAGGCGGCGCCGGAGGGCGGGTCCACCAGCACTGAGCCGAGCGTCCGGAAGGACGCGTGGGCAGAAGAGTGCGCGATGGGCAACTCTTCACAAGGCGGCGAAACCTATACATATCCACAGCTCCGTGGCCAGGCCCGTCCTGAACCCGGCAGCGGTGTATACGCCACGCCCTCCTGGCCAAGCCAGGAGGGCATACACAGCTCCTGGGTTCAGGACGGGCCTGGCCCCCCTCCCTGGCGCGCGGGGCGCCCAGGCGGCGGCAGGGTCCCTGGCTACAGTCAACCCGCATAGTAAGGATGAGCAACTTTCCAAGGTGACCCTTGCATCCTTCCCCTTCGGCCCATCCTTGGCCGCTTTCGCTGGCCGCGCCCCGCTCGCTAAGTGTCGGCATGGCCTTCCAAGGCCCTTGTCTCCTCGTCGTGCGTCCTTACTGTGCGGGTTGTGTGTCGGGGGGCTCGTTCTCGTATTCTTTTTGTTGCGCTCGGCGCGAGCACCCCTACGTCGCGCCAGTACTAGGTCCTCGACTGATACGCCAATGCGATGGCCACACATCCAGCGCGGTGCGGCGCCCGAATATATGCTCGCCCCTTGGCGTGGGACTGGTCGGGGGCCAAGGGCGAGATGTCCGGTGAGTTTTGTATTGAGGACTCTAAGGTAACGGCGTGCACTTGCGCCCCTCGCAATGTTCGTGTTTCTTTGAACAACATGGACATGCACCGTCTGGAGGAAGTGCTGCGGAAGCCCACGTATCAATGACATCCGCGCTCGAAATGTTTTTAGATCCTGGCATCCAACCTCCCGGGGAAATGCCCATGTGCGACACGATGAGCGGCAGTACCTTCCGTTGTTTGAAATAGTTTCCGAATGCGAGATCGCTCCTTGCAGCTGTCGGGAAATTATCGGGGTAAGTTGGAGCTGAAGAGTGGGCAGTATACATTTGTAGAAATCCCATAGTCTGGTACGACCATTTCGCCTGCAATGCGGGCCAGCCCCGACTATAATCCTGTGGACTCGCATACATGCAGCGCTCGGTTGCCGAAAAGACGATGTCCAAAGGCATTTCGGTCGGCAGCAATTCCAAGAAATTTGGAGGCAAGCAAATGTCACTATCCACAATCATCGCAACTGAGTTGCTGGAAGCATGCCGATGCACTTCGAGTTGCACTTCTCGCAACGCACGGCCTTTGTTGAATGTGTCATTGTTCAAATGGAACGCGTCTGTCACATGGCAACGAACGCCAAATAGAAAGCACACTCGTTGTGTTTCCCAATCGCTAGGCGACGTAACAACAATTGTTCTATTGACGAACTCTTTGTTACACTTCAAAGACTGCTGTAATTTATCAGACTCGCCCACGCTTACCGTCACTAGGGTAATGTCGTAATTACTTGCTGGAATCTGCAAGCGCCCCTTCCTGGGCCTCAAATTCGGAGGAGCTTCGCGGCATTCGCACGTGTCGTAACTTTCCGTCGTCCACGCGGTCTGTTCCCTGTTCCTTGACAGAGACACGGAGCCCACACCTCTCTCAGTTGGCTGTCTCGGCTGGCTCAGTGCGAGCGAATACCCAACAAGATGGAAGAGAACAGTCAGTTGCATTGGCGAAAAAGTGCTATGCTCAGTCTTCGAGTACAGTAGGTTACAATATGTAGGCCAAGCTAACTGATGCCAACATGGCTTGAGCCCAAATGGCTACAGAACTGTCGGGGGGCTCGTTGATAAGGAATCCACAGAAAAGACGTTCACGCTCTCGGCTTGGGTACGCCCCCCCCAGTCAGCCAGACCAGACACGAACATCGCGCAAGGCGACCTTTTCGAAACCAAAGTGTATTCATGCATCCGCCACTCGGAAGAAGTATATTGAACCATGACATAAAAGGCGGAACAAGTAGCTCGGGTTCGGGCCCGCAGAAAGAAAAACAACATTACCCCTGAGAAAACCCAATCATTCGATGATCTGAAAATAATACTATGGATCTTGAGATCGATTGTGAGATCGATAATGAGATCGATCGTGTAATCTATAGTGAGAACGATTGTAAGGTCGATCGTGAGACCGAGAGTGAAATCGATGAAATGAGATCGATAGTGAGATCGATCGCGAGATCGCTCATGCGATCTCTAGTGAGATCGCTTGTGAGATCGATAGTGAGATCGATAGAGAAATGGGAATTGAGATCGATGGTGAGACCGATCGATAACAAGATCGACCAAGAACCCGGGAACCCGGGAACCCGGGAACCTCGCCGCCCTCCGAAATCGGCTCGAAACCCGGAACCGGGAACCCGGAACCGGGAACCCGGGAACCCAGCGTGCGACCAAAATCGGCGGGACCCTTTCGCCAAATCCTTCAACTTCCGCGAGGACCCCTTGATTGCAAGCAGTGATTGGGGAACAACGACAGCAAAATCATGCCGATTCTTCAAGCAGGAAGGCGCTCGAAGTAAGTCACATTGGGATCTCGATATTCCAAACGAGCCTTTTGTTGAACGACTGGCGTGTACGTGCCCAGAGATCCGAGGTCGTGTTTTTTTCAGTGCTGGGTCCCCGGAAGTCTCGACCCATTCCCCAGAACCGACTTTTCATCCCGAGTCGTTTTTGACGGTCCAGGGGCCCGGCGAGGGACCCTAAAAGGCCGAACATTGTGAAAAGACATCGCCCTGAGTTTTGCAACACGTTGGATCTCTGGGTGTGCATCCTCCCTTCGCACCCGCGCTGAAGCCAGCTGTGGCCACCCGGGGGGGCTGCCCGTGCGCAGCCCGGGGCCCTACCAGGCAGGGGCTGCCACGGGAGGAGGGCCGACGGTCCTCCATCGACGGGGGATGAGGCGGGGAGGGCGGCGCGCCCCACTTCTCGGCAGCCCCGGGCCGCTCGAGCCAGGTCGGCCTGGGACGGCCAGGGCCCCGGGTGCAGGGATGCAGCGGGGAATTCGGGCGACGGACCACAGACGGGTCTTACGCAAGATGCCATGGCGACCTTGCGCGGCGGCTTACGCGGGCCGCCAGCACGGCACGCCACATTTGAGACGAGGGCGCTTACGCGCGACCTTGCGCTTGGAGCTTACGCGCCGATGTCCGCGCAGACGTCTCCGATTGTTGCGTCGCTCATATGGAGGCCCCAATCCTCGATTTTGGGAGGGCTTCGACTGGACCAGAAATCTTGGGCCCAACCCTGGGATACACAGTGGGGGGGTAGGGGCGCGTCCGCATAGCCCCCTGGGGGTCTATCCCACAGTCCCCTCCCCCTTTCTCTGAACTGCCAAACTTTTCGGGCGGAACTCAGGGGTCGGGGGAGAACCATCGCCTGCGAGGATAGAGGGGGGAGGGGCCACCCTCACAATGAGCATCCATGCAAGCGAAGCCCATCTGCTAAGGCACCTGGGGCAGGACGGATTCGAACGGGGCGGGGCTGCTTGGTAAACGCCCAGGGCTGTTCAACGAACGTGAAAATCTGGAGGTCGGGGTGCTTCTCCCTCCCAGGACTGGAGAAGGGGCGGGGGGCGGCGCGCCACCGCCGCCTGCCACGAGCCGCTTGCAACTTTCGGGGGCGGCCAAGAGGGGGGCGTCCAAGCGGGGGGGCGCGGATGATGGCCGGCGGCACGTGCGCGGCACAGGGGGGGGGGGGGGGCCCAGGGACGGATGGAAAAAAACGAGGCGCCATAACACCTGGAGGGGTATCCTGCCCCCGCCACGATATCCCCCCCCCCCCCCCCCTTGTCACCACCCCCTTCTTCGCCGCCCCCCGGAACGTGGCTCAGGACGGCTGGGGCACTGGATGCCGGGGTCCTGGGCCCCGGAGCAGGGCCAGTCGAGGCAACGGCGGCCCCCGCGCAGGCCTCCGTCGTCCCTTTTGGGGGGGCCCCCTGGGAGGCTTCTCCTCGCCGCGGCTGCATCTGCCTGGCAAAAACGGTTCGGGGTGAAGCCCGGGATGATGATGAGGATGATGCTGATGCTGATGCTGATGCTGATGATGATGATGATGATGGTGATGATGATGATGATGATGATGATGATGATGATGATGATGATGATGATGATGATGATGATGATGATGATGGTGATGGTGATGGTGATGGTGATGGTGATGGTGATGGTGATGGTGATGGTGATGATGATGGTGTTGATGATGATGCTGATTATGATGATGATGATGATGATGATGATGATGATGATGATGATGATGATGATGATGATGATGATGATGATGATGATGATGATGATGATGTATGTTGGACGAGTATCAGAAGGAGACGGAGGAAGACGAGGACGAGGAATGTGATGCACAAAGAGGAGGTGGAGAAGGAGGAGGAGGAGGAGGAGGAGGAGAAGGAGGACGGGGAGGAGTGACGGTGGCTCTCGGGAGAGTCTCCAGCAGGCGGCGCGCCCCGAGCGCGCTGCAGCAGGATCAGTCGTTGAAGCGGTCCTAGGCGGCTCGGGGCAGCCGCCGGTGAGCGTCGTAGTCGCGTCCTCCGGGTTCGCGTTTGGGTCGTGCTTGATCTCGAAGTACATGTAGTACAGCAGCACAAGGCGTCTGCATGTGGCACTTAGGGAGTTCTCCTCGTCGTCATAATCCCTACCATGACCGATGCGGTGCAGCGGGTCTGGGTGTAGGAAGCTCCGTGGCAGGGCCATCCAATGCCAGGCGTGGCGACAGGAAGTGTAATGAGAAATGTCGCCCATGTCCTCACCACACTTCCACCTGCAGGTAAACTTCGTGGGGTAGGCGTGCATGCCAATCGCCCACCAGAATACGAATGATGTTCCAACGCCGTGCGGCGGCAACGTCCGCAAGTGCTCCTTGAGGTGCAGCCACCGGCGTCGCAAAGCATGAGGGACCTGCTGTGGGCCCAGCCAAGCCGTAATCTGCTTCTGGAGCGTGACGTCGAACTTGTCTGGATACCATAATTCATGCAGCGGTCGCACGAATTCCCGCTGAGGAAGCGGGCGGCGTTCCTCGGCGAAGGTCTTGATGAAGACGTTGCGGAGCATGCGCTGGCTTACCCTCGATGGCAGTCTGGAAGCGCTTTACTATGAATTCACTTGTTTTCCAGAAGCCCGGAGACCACCGACCATGGCTGAAATCTACTAGTCCCACAAGCGATTCCGCCGCCAGTCGTGACCGGTCGAATGCAGCAAACCATCCGGGTAACGTAAACTTTGCCATCCTCCACATGGTGCCGAACGCGGTGGCCCTCAACGATGGCACGGCCGTCGTGAAGAACCAGCAGGCGAACGAGAGAATGTCCTGCAACCGGAAGGTGCTGGGCGGCATCCTCAAGAGCTTGTGGAGGCCGTGGAACTCTTTGGCCACCGTTCCTTCGGGAGGGGGGCCATGTACGATAGAACAATCAAGCATGAGGTCGCGTACAGGCGGGCTTCGACGTCCACGGGAGCGGCCATCGCGGCGGCCAGGGTGAGCCGTTGCCACCACTTCGCAGCTGTATCGCCCCACTGCAAGTCGTTAATGGCTCCCAGTCTTACATACAAACCCAAATGCTTTCCCACGTCGGCGATGATGAGCTCTTGGCAGTCCGGCGCATGGACACGGAGATGCTGCAGCATCGACCCTTTCGGCTCATCGCGGAGCTCCGCCCAAAGTGGGATGAAGATGCATGTCTTCGGCTGCAAGGAGAGGTTGCCCACCCTGGTGGCCATGTCCAAAATCTGCACGAGCCGTGGTAGATACCGAATGTGGCGAAGTACGACAGCGAGATCGTCAGCGCAACCTGCGGCGAGACCGCGAGAAAGATACGGGACTACGTTGGCAAGTGCTCGGATGACCGCATTCATGGCCACTGCCCATGCGGTACCTGGCGGGCACCCCTGAGTGACCCCTGAGCTGATGGAGCACAGGAAATGCAGGGAGCCATTCATCATGACGTAGCCGCGGGACCCGCCGTATAGAGCGGCGACTGCGTTGAAGTAGCCGAAGCCGAAGCGCTTGAGTGCTGCAAACAGCCATTGCCTCCCCAGAGAGGGGAAAGCCACCGTCATGTCGAAGAGCAATGACGATGGCCTGTCTATGGCAGCAGCTGCTGGGAGGCCCGCTGCACGAGCCTCGGGATCGATCTGCAGGATGTTGTTGCAGAAGCTGCGGCCTTCGATGAAGCCCTGCTGAATGGGATGTGCGTGGGACTCCACTTGATGACATATGAACCGATTAACAGCGGAGGCGAAGATCTTGGAATCGGTGTTCTTGCGAGTGATGGGTCGCAACGTGTCGGCACTGCGGATGCAGCAGACCAGGTCGGAATCCTTGGTCCCCTTAGGGATGGAAGAGAAGAGCGACTCGTTGAAGCCCCTCGGCGCCGTGAGGGCCGCGAAGGACTCCCAGAGGAAGAGGAGGAGGAGGAGGAGGAGGAGGAGGAGGAGGAGGAGGAGGGGGAGGAGGAGGAGGAATACTATAAGGAATCACAGGAGGGCGAGGAGGAGGAAGAGGGGGAAGCTCGGGAGGAGGGATCCGGGGACCGATATCGAGCGGATTTGGACTGGGCGGGCGGGCCGCCGATGTCTCCACTGGACGCCCTGCGAGCTTCGGGGTGCGCTGCGCAGGACTCGGGAAGGGCTTCCCTCGCCCTCGAGACAAAGGCGGCGCTACGTCCAAGACCGCGGAGCGCGATTGTCTTGGCGCCCCTGCGGATGATCCAAGGGGGCCCCAGGGGTCTCGCAGGTGGCGCGCCATGGGAGCCTCGATGGCCGTGCTTTTTTCCCCACGCAAGCAGCCACACGGGCAGCTGCCACCTGAAGGATGACTCGCCAGAGTGCGCTGGCCATTCACAGTGGTCAGGCTACGACACAGACTAGCGCACGTCGTGGACGAGGTGCCGCAGATTACTGGCAAGACGAAAGGAGTAGAAGAGTGACGAAGCTCTGGTGGCCGTTGATCCCGCTTCGGCATCACGATACGCAACGCGTTGACCCGTAGCGTGCTGACACAGAGCTCAACACGGAGATCGAAAACGTTGGTCTGGAGGGGTACGTTGGCCAACACGTGGCCCAACACGCGCCAAGTAAAACACGCAGCGTGTTGACACGGACGGTTTGAACACGGTGCGTGCTGCGTTTCAGAACGGGCGTACCCGGGCAGCTGAGGCCAGGGGTCCGCCCTCGGGAGAGCGAGGCTCCTCGTCCGCTGCTTCCGACATGTGTGTGCGCCCTGCCGCCCTGCGCCCTGCTCTTGGGGCGCCGGCCTGGCCCTCCACGGTGAGCGGGCTGTCTCCAAGATCTCAGCACACGGGCAGGAAGCGCGAGTTCGAGGTTAGCAGAACTCGCCACAGAGGGCCCAGCATGGCCCTCGTGGTTGCGTCAGCTCCTCCTGCTCCCTCCTCCTTTCCACCTCCTCCTCCTCCTTCTTTTCCTCCTCCTCCTCCTCCTTTCCTTGTCCTTCTCCTCCTTCTTCTCCCCCTCGACCTCCTGCTCCTTCTCCTCCTTGTCCTCCTCCTCCTCCTCCTCCTCCTCCCCTCCTCCTCCTCCTCCTCCTCATCTCTCTTCCACCCTCCTCCTGCTGCTGCTACTCCTCGTCATCATCCTCCTCCTCCTCCCCCCCTCCACCTACTCACCCCTCCTCCTCCTCCTCCTCCTCCTCCTCCTCCTCCTCCTCTTCCTCCTCTTCCTCCTCCTCCTCCTTTCAGGACACTTTCAGTCAGGGCTTCACAGCGCGCGAGGGCGCCGAAGCCCGTCAGTCGAGCGCCCTCGTGTGGGCGCTGAACGTCTCCTCCGCGTCTTCTTTGCGAAGAGCGCCGCCTCCCTTCGGCTCGCAAGCTGAGGGGCGCTCAACCTTCTCTGGTCTGTAGCTTTGTTTGTTGCCGTGAGCCTCTATGCCGACCAGGCTGGTCGGTGGTTCGGCCTCGCCTGTCACGCGCGGCGGAGGCTCCTCAAGAGATCCCTGCCGTGGAGCACGGTGCTCCACCTTGTTCTTTCCCGCTGGCGGTCTTTGCTTCGGTGCTGGAGTCGTAGCAGTCTGGCGGCCCGCCCTTCGGCCGCTCACGGGCTGCGGGCCGCTAGTCCTTGGCTTCTCTCCTTCGCGTGGCTATCGGCGCCGTATCGACGCTGCAGTCAGATCTTGCTGGCAGCCCGCCCTTCGGCCCGCAGCCTGCGGGCTGCCAATCAATGCCAGGTCCGTGTTGTCGCTGTCGTACGGCTTCTCGGGTGCTTGCTGGCCGTTGTGTCTGTTGCTGTCTTGCTGTCGGGCGTCGTGCTCGGGTGCTCGCTTCCTCCACGGCCGCGCCAGACGCCAGAGCAACCGCTGGACACCCTGATTCACTTGGCGACGTAGTGCCTAGTAGCCGCGATGGCACACTAGGTGTTTGCACTCTAACGCCTTCCCGCATACGTGGCGACGTCGGACCTGGTAGCCCTGATGGCACACTCAGACTTTGAACTCTAACACCGGGTTCCAGCGAGTGAAATAGACGTCTGTCTTGCTGTCTGGCGTCGGTAGACCGTGCCGATGCACCAGCCCGAGCAAGCTCGAGGGTGCTGTCCTTGGCCACCGCTACCATGCGCCGACCCAGGCCACCGCTCGGCATCTCATAGCCATGCCCGTGGTAGCTGCAGTCGTGGCGGTAGCTGCCGCCGTAGACGTCGCTGGTGAGGTAGCTGCCGTCGTCGCCGCAGCTGATGTCCTCCTCCTGGCCGTGGTTGAGGTACCTGTCATATCTGGAGTTCATGTCGTTGGCTGGTGCTGCTCTGGCTACTCTGAGGCCCCACCTTGCGATGAGCATCTCGTCGAGCAGGGCAGCTGCAGCGAAGTCGATGTCCTCTGCGATTGTCTCCTTAAGCGGGGTTTCGTGGATAAGGGTGGCTGGGTTGGCAACGATCATGGTGCTCCCGAGCTCGCAGTGTCTAGCCGCGCTGCTCGTCACCGCCGCGCGCGCGGCGGCGTGCATGATAGTGAGGACTTCTCTTGTGGCGGAGTTGGCTGCGTAGAGCTCGTTGGCTATCTTTTATGTGGCGTCAGCTGGCCCCCGCGGCGTTTCCTTCGAGCGGCGTCTGTTGGCGCGGTTGGCGATGTCGTCAGCATGATCGCAGTGGTACCAAGTCCTTCTCGGCATCTCAGCGTATATCGCGGCGACCTCGCATTTCAGGAGCCTGTCGCGGACGAGCTGTAGGTCGCGTGCTGGTGTCGGTGCTTCGCCGTCGCTGCTGGCGTCGATCGCGCGGTAATCCAGGCCGCTCTCGCTGGTGACTGTGCTGGTGGCCATGATCTGCTGGATGTCGCCTGGCTGCCGAGGGCGGTCGGTGATGAAGACCACTTCCTGTCGTTCGGATGGCTCGGGTGGCTTCAGCGCGGCGGATTGGCGCCTCGCGGACTGGATGGCGGCGTAGATCTTCGGAGCGACGGGCGACGTCTCCACGAGCGGGGGCGGCGTGATGTCGATCTTGTAGGCGAGTATATCGCTGATTCTTCTTGTTAGCTGCCGTGGTCGCCGCTATGGCGTCGAGGTTGCCTGCTAGTTGCTGTTCTGCGAGCGGCTCCATCGTCATGTTGTGCCAGGTGTACCAGGACTTGCGGCAGCATGGGGCTACCGCGAGGTGCTTCGGGCGCCTCGGGAAACTATGGGGCCCCGCCCGGCAGCATCTGCACGCCGTGCCCGTCGCCCATCGTCGGGGTTTCTCGTGGTCGGGGTGGCCCCTTGCCACGTGCGCTGCCATGCCCTGCTTGGTGGCTGCGCGGCCACCAGACGTAGCAGACGCATTTCGTCTCGGCCGCGCCGTCGGTCTGGTCGAGCTCGGCGGCGCTCGAGGAGGCCGGGGGCATCTGGATGTCGTCTCGCGGGGGGTGCTTTCGGAGAAAGGTGAAGTCCTGCTTGAGGTGGTGGCTCCAGGTGCCCTTGCGCTGCCGCTGGCTGTCAGGTAGCTGAAGTGAAGCCGCAAGCGCGTCGTTCAGGAGACGCGGTAGGTAGCGCAGTCGGGCTGCCGTCTGGTGCGCGTCGAAGTCGGGGACTCCTGTCTTCGCGATCGCCTCGCCGGTGGCGGTGTGCTTGTCGGGCGCGCTGGTCTCGGGCAGGGGGGCTGCCGCTCGGTAGGGGCCCATACTTGGCAGCAGTGTGGTTGCGGTCCTTCTTGGTCAGGCCGTTCCAGACGTGGTGGTATAGGTCAGCGACGATGTCGAGAGCGCGTGAACGTACTTCAGCTTGGCCTTCGTCCAGAGCTTCTTGCGGCGAATGATATGTTTCTCCATCGGCCGTGCTGCTCCGAGCGTTCGGTTGGCTCTGAGGCAGACCTCGGGGCCCGTGGCCCCGCTCGCCGCGATAATGGTCCCGAGGGCTTTCTGCTGGGTCATAAGCTGCACCTTGGCGGGGGGGGGGGCCTCGAGCTCGATGAAGGTGACTTTGTCCTTGGCCATCTTCTGGCGCTCCTCTCTAGCCCCGCTGCCGTAAACATGAGGATGGCTTTCGTCTTGTCGGGGTGCGGCTTGAGTCCGTGCTGGTAGGCTGCCGTGCACAGTCTGGTGGCTGAAAGCCGCGTCGTCTGGATCAGGTCGCTGGCGTTGGCGGTCGAGTTGTAGTCGGCGAGGTCGTCGACGAAGGACATATTCCTGAGCGCGCTGCCCTCGTGAGGCGCCGCCGAGATGAGCGGGGTCTCGCAGGTCTCGGCGCGGTGGCAACCTGCTGGTTGGTTGTGGCCTACGGCGGCGGCCGCAGCTCGATCGATAGCCCTGAGCATGATGGCGAAGTGCGCGTTGAAGGCGACGTCGGAGCACGGCGCGCCAGGCCGAGCGCTGGCCCGTGGTAGCTGGTAGTGATTGGCGCTTTGGGCCGTCATCCAGTTGGAGGTGTGGTGGTCGGCGATCATGTGGCAGAGGTGCTCGTCGACGTGCTGGTTGTTGTGTGCTGGCTGCTGGAGTCGATCCGCCCGGTGAGCTCGTTGAGCTCGTTGGCTGAGGTCGGCATCTGCATGAATAACCCCCTGGTGACGACATGGGATGCCTCCCTGAGGTCAAGAAAGGTGGTGCTGCACGATCTGGCCCTTCGCTGGCAGTCGGCGATGAAGGCCAGGGAGGTGTGGGTGATAAAGTCGGTCGCCATCGTGGGTCGCGCTCCACACTGCGACGTTTCCCGCAAGTTAGGTAGTAAACCTTTCACGCGAGAACGCAGAAAGCCGCCGTGCATCTTCACGATGGCGCTGTTGAGCAGGATGTCTCGGTCGGACTTCTGCTGTTCCATATCCCCCTGGCCTTCGTGGAAGTGCGTGGAGTACCCGCCCTTGGCGGCGATGGGCTCGGTGCTCTCGATCTGGGTCTTGGCCAGAACGGGGTGAAAAAGGCGCGCCATGCCTTCGGGGTCGGCTCTGGACATGTCGTCGGTGAGCTGGCCTGGCCCTCTTCGTCGCCCTCGCTTGGCAGCGGCTTGCTGGCTGG